AAGGCCAGTCACGGGTTTTAAGACATGGCTATTCTGACAAAGAAAACACGATGGATAATTGACATTGCAGGAGCTGGAGATAGGAGGCTCAATGAGAAAGGACTAGAAAATAACGGTTGTTCCATCACTAAAGTCATGTCACCCTTTGTTCCTTCCTTCCTTCCTTCTTTTCCTCCCTTCCTCTCTTCCCTCTCTTTCTTTTGCTTCCTTTCTTCCTTTCCTCCCTCTCTTTTCCTTCCTTCCTTCCCTCCTTCCTTCCTTCCTTCCTCCCTTCCCTCCTTCCTTCCTTCCCCACCGTAGCTCTGCATTAATTCACGCCCTCCCTCCCTTCCATCCTTCTTCCATTCTCCCTCCCTCCTGGGGATTCAGGGCATGGATGGCCGTACCTAACCATCTCATCCTCTGCTGTCCCCTTCTCCTTCCACTTCCCCCACTGGGCCATGTGATCCACTTTGGGGACCTTCTGACAAGCGAAGTCCACAGGGAAGCCAGATCCACCGAACTTAACAACTGCACTCCGCAACCATGGCCAGAAAGGTGCTAAAACGAGGCAAAACTCACTTAACCGCTGTCCTGCTCAGCAAAGGAAACTGCAGCCCTTAGCCAAGAACTGCCTGCCGGTTGCAAGGAAGGTGCAGTAAGGAGAAAACCCAACACATTAGAATAGAATTAGAACAGAATAGAGCTGGGAGGGACCTTGGAGGTCTTCTAGTCCAGCCTCCTGCTCAAGGAGGAGATCCTATCCCATTTCAGACAAGGGGCTGTCCAGTCTCTTCTTGAAAACCTCCAGGAATGGAGCACCTACCACTCCTGGTGGCAAGCAGTTCCACTGGTTAACTGTCCTCCCTGTCAGGAAATTCCTCCTTAATTCCAGGTTGCTTCACTCCTTGATCAGTTTCCATCCTTATTGCTTCTTGTCCTGCCCTCTGGGGCTTTGGAGAATAGCTTGACTCCCTCTTCTTTGGGGCAGCCCCTCAAATGCTGGAAGACTGCTACCATGTTCCCCCTATAAAAGTCCTTCTTTTGTCTAGACTAGCCAAACATGGACAACCGATAAACCATGTTTGGCTTGAAAGGGGAAGCAAAGGACCCTGTTTCTCTTCCTAAGTCTTGAGGCCCAGAGGAAGAATTCTCGTGGCCTGAAGGGCAGCTCCCCTCCCTTTTCCTCCACCTGTGGCACTCCCTGGGCGGGGGAGAGAGAGCCCAGGCATCACCCAGCGTGGTGGTCCTTGATCCTTCCGTCTCCACCAGGGTGTCCTGGAACATCTCCCTGGCACTTTGCCTGGTACAAGCGGCCACTCTGCCGAACTCTCCCCAGCTGGCCAAGGGTTTAAGAGGAACCCACCCATGGGGGGGGGAGGGGGGGAGCTGGGGAGGTTATTGACAAGTGGCAAGGAATATATAGTTTAGCCCCTAATCCACTGGATGCAGCTCAGCCTTGGGTTGAACAAGATGAAGTCCTGGAGAGCTAAATTGGGCAAGTCCATAGATTCCCACTAACCAGTCAAACCTGAAGAAGTTTCTCCTAGTTTTGTTCTTGTTGTTTTATTCCTTTTTCATTCCTTTACATTTTCTAAAACATTTTTTTTCCTGTTTTATTGTTGTAAGCCACCTGGCGTACCCACATGGTGAGATAGGTGGCAAATAAATTTAACAAACGAGGAAAAGAAGAAGGGAAAGCAGGAATGAGAAAGAAAAAGAAAGAAAGAAAGGGAGGAAGGAAGGAAGGAAAGAAAAAAGGAAGCAAGCAAGCAGAGGGAGGTAGAGGGAGGAAAGGGAGGAAGAAAGGCCAAAAGAATAAAAATAAGATGTTTCCAATTTCCTTTGTAGCAAATATGTACAATTACAAAATTATCTCTCACTGTATGATTGCAAAACAGCCAACTTTTTTCTTTTTTATCCAATTATTCAAGGCGTAAGTTCATTTTCCCCCTATTTCATGCCATCAGGAGTTTATAGTCAGCCAAAAAGGTAGATATTGTTTCTCTGATGAAAAACATTCCTTTAGTCATCTCAACAAGTTTTATGTTCTTCATCAATCATTCCTCCATTGTGAATTAATGCCAGATCAAGGAAGGAAGGAGGAAAGAAGGAAGGAAGGAGGAGAGGGAGGGAGGGAAAGAGGGAGGGAGGGGGGGAAAGGAAGGAATCCAAAGTTTTTTCCTCCTCATTCCCCACACCAAGACACGGGATCTTATTTATTTATTTTTCAACGATACAACTTAAGAAGGCAAGTTGTCTAATGGCAGTTTTTAGAATCAGGTAACTTAAAGGATCTACGTTCTATTGCTCCTGAAAGAGTCGACTTTAGATTTAAAACGTTCCTGCGTTGACCTAAGTGGTCCACAAGGAACCATGGATGTGATTTGGAAGCTAAAATTCCTGCAAATTCTTAGCGGGCTGG